AAAAAAAAAAAAAAAAAAAAAATATATATATATATATATATATATATATATATATATTTGTAAATTAATTAAATATTTATTCATTTTTATGAGATTATGCTCTCACTTCCTTATGAGCGAAGTTTAAAAACTTTGGTACCTAGTAGAAAATGGGTTTTGATTTAGTAATATTATCCTAAGATTTAGACGGGTCAAACAGCAAAGCTCGTATTAGGTCGATTTCGACCTTAGTGTTGCTCGACCTTCACTAGAACGTGCTTCAGGCAGGTCTCTACCACGTGTCGAGCCTTGATTCCACCCTTATCACTAATTTTATTTGGTTTTTTTTTTTTTTTTTTTGTTCAATAATAACAAAGAACAAAAATCCAAATAAAAACTCCTTGCTATCTACGCCAAGCACAAATCATTCAAACCTTTTTTAAAAAAACATAAAATTACGTTGCTCCACTTTCTTAATGTGCTCACTTCCAAATAATTTAATTTAATTTATTTTTGTAGGATAATATTGTTTTAATTTAATCTCAACCTTTAAATAATTATAGAAAATGACGTGTATTATGTTATTTATGTGCAATAAAATATATTTAAATAATTAATGAGCGGAAATTTAAATTAGTTGAGTTAGTTCTAACTTGGGAGCAAACTTGGAAGGGTCCAAATTTAACTGTTCGGTTGTTCCATTCTGGACTCGGACACAAACTGTTAGAGCCTAAGGCCATCGCTTCATGATTATAAAACGTGTTTATTAGATAAAGGTTTTTACATGAAGTTAAATTTTTTTATATATTTATATATATATATATATATAAATTTAAGAGGTAGGTTTGATAATTGGGTTATGGAGTGGGGGGGAAGTGGGCCTGATAAGCGGCCCAAAATGAAAATGAAGTGGACGTGTGGGCCCAATTGATTTTGGAGAATCAATTCTTGAAGACAAACTCCAAATGAGACACGTCAAATCTGACGTGTAAACCACTCACCCTATCCTCACAAAATCTCACTCCAAATTTTGAGTTCCCTGGTTTCTAATTTTATATATAATAATATTCGCATATAATTCCAAGGACAATATTTTTTAAAATATTCCAATGTTTATTCAGGCAATTTCTTTTTAATAAACCAATTTTTTTTTTGTTTTTTTAATAATAGGATTGTAACAGCAGCCTACCGTTTGTGGTTTGAGTTTTTTCTTCTCGGTTTCCGTGTCCTTATACAGAATGCTTCATTCTCTTTTTCAATCGATGTGAGATCTCACAATCCACCTATTTTGAGACACAGTATCCTCATTGACATTTGTCCTTTCTCCAATCGATGTTGAGATCCAATGTCCTCGTTGACACTTGTACCCATCTCCAACCAATGTGGAATCTCACAATATCTCACAATCCACCCCCTTTTAGGGTTTAGTCCAGATACTCGTTCCACTCTCCAATTGATGTAGGATCTCACAATTCACTCCCCTTCATGGCCTAGTGTCCTCAGTGGCATACCGCCTCAGTGTCCACCTCCCCCTTCGAGACTTAGCATCCTCGCAGGCACACCTCCCAATGTCCACCCCCCTTCAAGACTCAGCATCCTCGCATGCACACCTCCCAATGTCCACCCCCCTTCAAGACTCCTCCCAATGTCCACCCCTCTTCAAGACTCAGCATCCTCGCTGGCACAGCATCCTCGCTAAAACCCTTGAAAGAAAGGCAAGGAAGAAAGACAATACTGAAGAAGAATCTAATCAGATATTCCTATACATGAGAGTAAATTCAGATTCAATCCGGAACCAGAATCCATTTCTTTTTTAACTGTAATTGTAAACGAACTTGGACTGGACTGATACAAGGATTCCATTTAGATATATGTTATGCTATTTGTACCCTTGTGAAGCTTTCATGGAATCAATTCTGATACCATGACAAACCATGCGTTCACGTGGAAAAATCTCAATTTTCTCGTCAAGATTGAGTTATACAAAGATAGAAGAGAATAAATTGTTTGAGAAGGAAAGACGGTTTCAAAGACGAAAGATATGGTATGTGATCCATG